GCGAGTGAAAAAAAAGAGTGCAATTTATTTAAATCAACATGATTAATTCTGCCACATTTAACATGATTTTCTTTCCATTCTTGCTTTCAACGACAAGCACATCGTTTTCTATGTTTTTATTTCCGTAAATTTCACAATTTACGCATGCACTTCAATCGAGAAATAGTTGTTATGAGCCAAACTACTTGAGGCCAAGTGTTTGAGATTATGATTTGTGTGCAGCTGCGTTGTGTTCGCTGTCAAATCTCTAGCGTTTTTTTTTCTCTCTCGATCCCTGTTTGTCTCGATATTTCCAGAAAAACGTCCGTGTCAGAAAAAAAAAATCCGGTGGTTGGCCTACACAAAAAATGGCTCTAATAAAATAATTGGCCAGCATATTTGTTATTTTTTATCGAAAAAAAATGCATCAATTATTACGACTTGACAATATTTCGACAGATTGATGCCAATTTTGGCGAAAATTTGGTGTGTTCAGCACAATGCATTTTGTTATTTGTGGAAAAAAAACACGTACATAAAAAAGCCGGCACAATGACAATGGATAAAATGAATAAAAATCACTAATAAAATTATAATGACGACGAAAGATGTAATCAAACAATTTCAAATGAACAGGAACGAGGCGAGTGAGAAGCATCAGTGAACAATTGAATTTATGCTGGCCCGGGAGTGTGCGGCAGTACAAACGGAATAAGGGGTCACACACATCCATATGCAACGTCGTCGTCGTCCTCTCACCGGTTCCAACAAACGACTAATGAACGTTTCTGAGCTGCAGTTGTTGGTTTGATTGAAAGCATATGCTTCACATGTCGACACCAAACGACACAGAGAGAGAGAGAGAGAGAGAGAGTGAGTGAAAAAAATTTAATGATTTTTTTTTGCGTCGAATCGTAAAAAACGATCGGTATGGCACCAAACCTGTGCCACAGAGAGTCAAAAACCAGTCAACATTAACAATTTTCAGAGATTTTTATCACACCATTTCATTTTCGTTGGGTTTTTTTTGTGCGATGTCATTATCGATATGGTTTCGGTCAAACGGGTGCAGCCACCGTTGTTCGAACAGGAAAAAAAACGTGTAAATTGAATTGAAGTTGCTTTAACTCAATTAAATGAGTTGCAACCACAATTTCAAGTTAAATCGACTCGCTTTAACTAAAAATATTGGTTTAGAATGCGGTTGGGCTGAACTAAAACAGTGAGTTGGAGTGAGTGTGTGTGTGTCAACTCGAATGGACAGAAGAAAAAAAAAATGTGCAAAGTCATAGTCGAAGTTTTGATTAGCTTGGTTTGGGGTGTGAAAGACATTTTAATTACAATAGTTAGCAAACAGACGCACAAAAGGGATAAACCAGTTGCGAAAAACGAATTGAAAGGTGTTTGTACAATGTACATAAAACTGGACAAAAATTACATGATTTTTCTCTGTATTTTATGATTTGTGAAAAGCATTTGGTTTTTGACGTACAAATGATGGTGGTACCGGTGAAACCACAAAACGGAGAAATGAACGACACTTTGTCGCAAAAATTACCGTAATTTCACTTTCGACACAAGAGACAGACGCACACGAATACACAGCACTTGAGTGTGCGCCGAGGCGAATATGTGACAGCATGGGAAGAGGGTGAGGCTAAAAGCAGAGCAAACAAATCGCCAAAACCATTGATTGTCATTTAGTACACGCATTCAGCGGCTAAACACATTCAATGCGAGGAATATGTGTGACTGAAGTCCGCATTGTCACGACAATCGGCAGTTGCATATGTATCATATTTCGACCATCGTCGATTCGCTATAATAAATTTATTAGCTGCGACATTATTTATTGCCACTAAGTCCATTGTTTGGGCCATGCAAATGCAACGCCAAACTACATTAACGAGGTGAAAAGGTCGACTTACACACCACGTGCATACACCATCCAACCGTTTTTTTTTGTGTGTGCTAATGGTGGTCACGCGAAGCAACGACACTGCCATTGTTCGCTTTCGGGTGCAAATTTCAAATCCGATTTTCGAAATGACCACTCATGCTCATTAAATCTAGATCAGGGACCCGCGCCTTTTTCACTTTTGCCATTCTCTCTCGTTTCGAACTTTTCAACCGCTTTTGTCATGTAGAGCACGCTGTTCGGCGACCATTTTAGCCGAAGGATCGATGATTTGTTTGATTTTTCCAATCATATCCACTCACAATTTATAATTAGCATCCGTTATTGTGTGCTCGACTTTTGTGAAATGTTTTGACAAGCCATCGGCTTTTGTACACGATTTGATTCACTGTAACGGCGCACGTCTAATGGACGCTGCAACGCCCATTTCTCCCAAGGGACGGTTTTTGAAAGCAAATTAGACGGATTTGAAATTCGAGCTGTCCGTTGATACAATTCAATTTCGAACTAATGGTAAATCGATGAAAATGTTTTTGAATCGAATTGATATTGAAACTTTCGCGCGTTTAATAACACTCGAAGATGACTTTTATTGAAGCCTCGAACGTCTGTTCAGGTTTTTATCTACATGAAGAATGGCTTGAAACGGAATTTTTAACGTGATCATTTGAATTTTATTATGTTCGAAAAATATGGGCAATCGAGAGACCATCTTCCAAGGATATCACATTTTAAACGTATCCGTATCTACTTCTACCGCAGACAGGTGGTGGGCATTAGAAATTTTATTTACATTTTTTCCTGTTTTTTCGTCATGTTGAAACAAAGAAGCGGGTGTGTGTGTGTGTGTCTATTAAGCTTGTGTCAAGGAACTGTGTGAGTAAGAGTGTGTCTATTTGCAATGTTATTGTTTCAAGAAAATTGTTTATTTGAATTTAAAACGCGACGATTGAGACAAAAGAAGCAACCAAATAGAGTTTTACTATGAATTAAACCTAAACTTGGAACAAAGTCAAATAAATAGTCAGACAGTGTTCTGTCTCTTCTGTTCCAAACTTGTCGTGATATTTGTCGCTTGGGTTCAAAAACCGCAACCAGCCCGCACATCAATTTACCGCGATAGATCGTTACATTCGAATATCAAGACTCTACGAAATCGATTGAAGAACGTTGTCGCACGAGTGTAAGAAAACAAATTATTCGATGGTAAACATTCGAACCGTTGCAGCTGCATGCTGGTGAATTAAAAACACGTTTCAAATACAGAAGAAAAAACACATTCTTTTCTTTAAAATTCAAATGAACTCGTTCAGAATATCAAATGATCGCGCTTCACCTTTCGAGGATTTGACTTTTTTTTTCCATTGCTTCGATTCCTTTGCATTTATTCTATTGAATTATTTCATCGCTCCGAGGTTGAAGCCTTCAAATTTTCGTTTGTTCAAAAATTATAATCTTCTAGATTGTGGACTAGAAAAGCGAATGAGCTTTTATTTGATGCCGAAAAATGCTGTTTCGAAATATCTTCTGAATTTAGTTCATTCAGAAAATATTTCGACCAACACAAAATGACTTCACTCAAGCGAAAAAATGCAATAAAAATTCGACACAAATGAAACTCTTCGCGTAATAAACAAGAAAAATGTTCCAATTTTGACCGTTACCGGTAATAAAACTGGAAATTCTGTACAAAATCATGTGATATTCTTGGGATGTTCGTATAAATTTTAGTGTTCCTCATTGATTAAACTCATTTTAACATGCAATGATCATAGAAAATCGATTCTTCGATTGAAATTGCTCATCACAGCCTCCAAACTTAACTATCGGGATTGTTCCATTTTATTGATTCACGGCTAATCAAAACGTGTTGATTTTCTCGCTGCCCGTTGCGTCATAAAAACAAACACGAAACGAATGATATTCGGGTGTGCGCAACAGCTGAGATCAAGGCGTTTTTGTTCAAGCAACAAAGTCAATTCGCCATGGTTCATTGCGTTGCTCGGGCAAAAGAATGTTTAGAGGTCAGTTGCGCGAGAGCGCCGATCGATAGTCATTAGCGAGAGCAAAGGGGCGCTATTTTTATTAGCTGCAAATTTTCAAAGACCTTTGAGTGTGGAAAAAAAAAATCATTTTTACGATCGTCGAAGAACTTGACGGTCGATCATTGTTGTTCATCTGGTGGTGGCTGTTGTTGTTCAAATGTTCTGTTTGCATTCTCTTTCCATTCGAAGGTTTTTATTACGTTTAATTATATTGTTATTCAAGCATTTCGAGCAAGCAAAATGGTTCCGAGCGAGTAAACGAGCGTGCCCGTGTGCAAAAAGTGTCCGAATGAATAGTACACGGTGTACTGGTGTGTGTATGTTGCGAGAGAGACTCTGTTATTATTTATCGTTGACGATACGTTAATGGAATCGATTCATAGTTTATTGTATTGTGTGAGGTACCTCTATCGATTAGGTGAATAGAAATATGGCACAAAAGCCATCAAGAGATGTTAAAAACACAAAACGACGAGAGAAAAACATGATGGTACTTTGGAGAATGCACAGTACGCGCGACATACACACAATCGTTCAACTCGACAAATAAAATCCGGCAGCGGTCAAACTTTTTTTTCTCTCGATTTTTCTGAATTTTTCCCTTTTTCGTCTCACTTCCTCCCGATTTCTCTCTTTGCCATTTTGCTGTGTAATGGCACTGCACTTTTGTGTCTTTAATTGGTTCATGTAGCTGAATAAATTTCTATGCATGCACTTATCGCAATTTAACAATTGAGCAGGAGGTTAATTGAGACCGAAGAGTTGAAATGAACGCTGCGCTGCGCTGCTCAACATCATTTGTGTGTTTTTTTTCTTCTCTTCTACACGTTACGTGCTCAAAGTCAATGAGCCCAGAGTAGTTCTTATCACAATTTGTGTTTTTTTTGCCTCGTCTCGAGTTTGCAAACTTCCGCTTCAAATGAACACACACACATAAAAAACCAGGAAAACACTCTCACCATCACTGTTCACTTATTCAAATGCGAGCATGCGCATTTTTAAACTAGAAAAAAAATGTGCTACGATCAAAACTAACCGAATCAAATCTTGGTACTTACTTCAACGGTTTAATCACAAAATGTTGCTAATGTGCTGCGGTTTGTTCGAACTGTTTCGTTTTGCTCAGCTATTTCAGTTGATTAATCCCATAATAAACCATCAATTTGCGAAATATGATGGAAATGTGCAGATTTCACTTTGATTTTTTGTGCCAAATTTTCCTTGGGTTCACTGTCTTTCTTTAGCAATTTTTTGCTTGATCAATTTCTGGTTCAACTGTTCAATGTTCAATTTCAGTTCAATTTTTCTCACTTTTTCGTATGAAAACAATTCAATTTTTTCTCATTGTTCTTATAATTGCAGTTCAATTTCATCAAACTCTTGGTAAAATCGTCTTTTTCTTCGGTTTCTCACTATAAATCCTTTTGAAACTTCGGAAATTCGTTCAAAAAATTCACTTTTTCTTCTTGAAAATGTCTTCGTTTCCACTCAAATGTTCTTTATTCAAACTTTTCCTTTGTCGTGCACTATTTTCGTCTTGTCTAAACTTAGCTTCGTTGCTTTCCTTGCACCAAATAAGTGTCACTTTGTTCTAGTTCTTGCACAAAACTTTGATTTTCTCAAACTTGCACCAATTTACTATTCTCCTTCTTGATTGTTAGTAAAAAAAAAAAAATCCATGGAAATATCGGCAATAATCCAAAATGCTGTTGGTTTGTTCACTTCACTTGGTGTTGTACACAAAACTTCACTTTTCTTCGTCGACGAATTTGTTTGTAACGTCTTTGAAAATTGAATTTCAACTGCACTGTATGAGCACTGCGTGTAGAAATGTGTTGGTTCCAATTTTTGGGAGAGCGCGACAAAAAGTACGTCCGTTCTCATCGATAGACTTTTCTCATATGATCGTTCGTAGTGATGTGCTGGCCGTCTATAACATAATACACGGGTGGCTGTTGTACATTTTCCCTACCTCCGTTTTTTTTCGGTCGTTCGTCGTCGTCGTCGTCGTCGTCGTCGTTGCGGAACGTTGCTGTTGCTGCCGTTACACACGCAGTCAAGGCATACAAACGTGCACGCACACTCACTCGCAAGCAAGTAAAAGCCGGGCAGGCTGGCAGCAGTGAGTAGTAATGAAGGTAATGCACCCTTGTGCATCTTTCGCAAATGCCAAAGACTCGATCCGCTCGTTTTTTTGTTCAAGAGGGTATCAAAGATGATGTGCGTGTGTGTATGTGTGTTTTATCTGTTGCTTATGTTTTCTTTTACCTGTGTTCCGTAGACGACAATGATGATGACGACGACCAGCGGCGACCGTGGCTTCTTACAACTAGAGCACAATTTTTTATTCCGGTGTGTGTGTGTGTGCGACAACTTCTAACACCATTCTCGGTTGTTCGGTCGTTTGAGCGCTTCAAGTATACGGATCAATTGCAAACGCTACACGATGAATGGTACTCGACGGAACACGTCACAAGAACCATTTTTCCTACAAAAGCCACAGAAAAAATATGCTCATTTTTGATTTATATTCATATGCACGGCGACACAGTCGAGGTAATTCGTTGAGTGGCCACTTGAACGATACGAACAGCAGGCTCGAACATATTGAATAACCACAGAAAAAAACACATACACACAGCTCTCGTCCAAAACACATTCCACTTGTGTGGGGATATGCAAAAAAGGATCACACAACGCACACAAATCCAATGGAATGAGATTCCTACAGATAAGCTAAATGAAGTCTACACAACACAATGCTTCGGGTGGATCGGTTTCTTCTTGTTTTTAGCACTACATACAATACGCAGGCTATTGTTTGGGTTTTCCGTTTCCATTCAAATCAAATGCGATTGTCTACTGTTTTCGGTCGAAACAATCGAAATCATTAACTCTAATGACGCCCATTTGGATGAGCAAATGTGTTCGATTTATACTAAACGAACGGATTGCACAATGCACATGTAACGCAAATCCAAGGATTTTCAACTCAACAAACAATCGATTTTCATTATCGCTTCTTACCGAATGTTTTTCTTTTTGCTCGTTTTAACAATATTATCTCATTTTTTCCATATTTACCGATCTAATGAAATTTCGGCTGTTTACTTGTAATAGTATACTGTACGTAGTATTACTTTTCGACCGTTTTTAATCAAATCTTCTTTTTAGTCTGGTTCGTTGTGAGGATTTTTGACGATTTTGCTCATTTTATCTCTTCGGTGTTTTCATTGTCTACTAAACACTGTTCACACTTCCTCTAAATCAATTTAGATGAAAAAGTGTGTTTTTCGCTTTTTCAACGTCTTCTTTGCTGTTGAAGCAAACATTTACTTGATTTGACGTCCTTTTTCCAAACATTTTTTGATTTAACTGTACAAACGTTACGACTGAATGGAGATTTCTTTGATTTTTTTTCAAGAGATTCTATCAAAATAGTAGATTCCTATCATAGGTCGTTTCTAACTGTAGTTGCTACCGAAATTCATCAAAGAGAGATGACTTTTTCGGATCTGCCGTATTTCTTATCAAAAACTGATTTTCGCCTTGAATTTTGCAACCGACCTTTTGCTACTGTTTTATCATTTGAAACGAATTATTGGAAAAAATAGTGACAATTCTGACTTTTTACCATTTTTGGTCGATTTTTTTTTTTACATTTTTCTGTCTCACATTTCTCTAAACAATGCCAATATTTTTGTACTTCCGATCATTTTAACTGAAAGAAAGGAAACTACGAACAAGTTGAGATCAGCCAACGTCTTTTTCTTTGTAAATAAAAGACATTTTTTCGAGAGTTTACTTTTGAAAAGACTCTTTCTCTATCATTTAAACGTCCTTTTTTATCATTTCAACATTTTCTCATCAAGTCGAAACGTATTTTCTTCTATTTTGATCATTTCGATTCTTTTTTACGCAAACGACAATGTTTTCAAATACTATATAGCGTTTTCTGTTCCATTTTTGTCCAATTCGATTCTTTTTGTCCCTTTTTTTGCTCTCGGTCATTTTTGCCATTCGTTTTGTTAGTTTCAACATTTTTTCTGTATTTTTCTCATGTTTAGACATTTTATTCATTCCAATACTTTATGAGTTCCTGTGTGCGAAATGGATTTTTTTTTGGATGAAATTCAACAATTTGTACCTTTTTTCGGTAATTTAGATGAGTAAACAGTTTTTTTAAAAAGAATTTATCGGTTTTTAAATTGTTGAGGTTTTTTTTTCTTATAACGAAATTCATTTAAAGTTTTTCATGTATTTTAAGTTTTACGTTGGTTTTCGAATGTTTTTATCCGAAGAAAGTAAATTTCATGACGAAAAGTGAATTGGGAGCCGTAAGTTACAATCCGTAACCGAAATATCGCCATCCGTAATCGATTCGATCGAAAGCAAAATTGACAAAGACCACAAAATTCATGCCAAAGATAAAAACAGACAGACTTTCCAATAGAAATTATTCGTTGGTAATGAAAATATTATTTGTTTACTCTTCCCATGGAAAACGGACACTGTCGTTGCAGGCGAATTGCATTTGTTGCACAAAAACCATTTGTTTTGTGATTGTCAAAGGAATGTGTGTCGTTTCCTGTTCGGATGAAAGTCGAATTGTTTGTATAATTTCTTGCGAAACGGACATTGAACAATGTGAATCGATTATTGTTGAATTGTGAAAGGATCAATATTGACTGAAATGCATCCACTGGTAATAAATTTTCTCTGAAACATTTCGGACAAATGTGTATCGTTCGCAAGACAATGCGAGGGGCATTGTTATCAACGGTGCAAAAGAGTAAAGCGAAGAGGGAGAAAGAGTGACTTTTTTGTCTATATTTTTCTTCCTTAAGAGCTCTTTCTCGTTTTTGAGCATTTCTTCTCTCTTTCTCACCCTGATTCGTTTGGTCTTTCAACCTCTTTCTCTTTTGAACGTAATTTTTCTCGTATTGATCCATTCGCTCTCGTTATCGGTATGTTGCACCGTGGAAAGTGATAAAGAATGAGTGAGAACGAGTGAAAGAAGAAGAAAAATAGATCAAAATAGACTAACGAAGAGGAAAAGGGAGAGAATATAGAAATAGAGCAGAGTGAAAGCAAGACCGTTTGAGAAAGAGCATGTAAAAGAAACGAAAAATTGAAGAAAAGAGTGAAGAAAGAGTGCGAATGAGTGAGAAAGAGCAAGAATTATGCTGCAAGACAGGCAAAGAGAGAGAAAAAGAGTAAAAAAAGAATGAGATTGCCTAAACTTCACCGTGTTACATGCATGAGAACGAAAAATTGTGCATGAAATGAGTGTTGCGTGTTGCGCCGAAAAAAAATTGCACATGGTCCATGTGGCGAAATGTTGGTCGCATCTTCGGCTAAATGCAAATCAAAAAACCAAACAAAAGTGTAACAAATTTTTATGTTGTGCGTCGTGTGCGCTTACGCTCGCGCTCATCGCGCATAAATAATAAATCATAGCGACGATTTGTTACTGTTGCCAGGGCCTTCATTCACTTTTAATTATTGTCCCATTCATTCATATCGTGGCCATTCTTCTCTTTTCTGCTCTATTATTAATTTGTGCTGTGCATTTTTTTCTTCTTCCAGCATGCAGTTTGCGCTCGCTCTCTTGTTGTCTGCCGTGAAAGTGAAAATTGAATGATAATGAGATTGTTACACAATACACATACACAGGGAGAGAGTGAGAGTGGCAGAGCGAGAGGGAGCTGACCTGGTTGTCGCATTATGCACATTGCAAGACTGAAGCGCGATGCGATTTATGGCAAAAACTTGTCTCATCGCTCCTTACTCGCTGCGACCATTGTGTGAATGGCTAATAAGTGAATATCGCTTCGCGCTGCAGGCAATGCATTGTACCCCGTTGCACAGTCATCTCAAGAAACACGGCTTCTGCATTGCAAAAAAAAAACGACAAGAAAACGAGATGCAAAACGTTTTAGCCACATTGCATTTTACTGTTTCTATGCAATCCGTTTCCATATTCTCTCTCTTTGTGTGTGCAGCCCTTTTCTTCACTCACTCTCTCTCTCTCTCGTCGATGCCCGTTCCTTCTTTGTGCGTCGCTGTCATGTTATAATATCGCACACGTGAATTTCCGATTTATGAGAATCCGCTACACTTCGTTTTCGCTGCGCTGCACCCATCATTCAGTTGCAGTTTTTGTTCTCGCTGGGGTCGGCAAATTGCAATAGATCCGCTTGTTTTATGGGTTTTATGGTTTAATTTTGCACATAGCATTTCCATCATGGAATTTGAGACTTTTACATTCACAAGTGAAATTGCGCCGAACAACATTTCAAACTACGTGCGATTTTCTCTGTTTGCTTCTTCGTCGTCTTTCGTTGTTGATCGGACAGTTCGCTGTTGCGTGAGGAAATGCAAGGGATCAAATGAACTAATTTTTCGTTTTGATGACCATGGAACATTTGCTGTCGTGGAGGCTCTCGAGCCTTTAACAACATTTGAATAAGACATTTCAACATTTTATTTGCTCAACGTTCTTTTGATGGACAGTCAACGTTGATTGATGCATTTACATTAAACAGATCATGTATATTTGAGCAGATGAAGCAGAAACTTGAATTTTTGTTTGCGCTGGATCTTATTTACGTTATTTTTTGGAAAAAATATCTATTCAGACTCTTTAATCGACTATTTAGATTGTTTGGAAGATTCAAATCTTAATACATCATGAAATATTCTGTGAAATTCGGACAATTTCATTTTTTTGGGCAGCTTTTGTAGATTTATCAACCGTTTGGACTTGTTCCCACTTGATTTTTTCTCTTTTTAACACGAAAAATGACGATTCTGGGAGAAATATCGACCATTCCTGAAGAAATTGTGGTTTCTTTCGAAGAAAATTTATCGTTTTCGGCGGGAACGTGGTGATTTTCGAAA